GATGAAACACAGACTGCATCCTAACATGTCTTCTTACACATGACACTTGGTCCAATACATTCTGTTTTATTATTCCAAGCGCTTTCGCAATAACTAAGTTTTTATTTTTCAACAATTTTTTGATGAATTTTGCATGCGTATTTTTTCTTTCGTCTTGTAACTTAGAAATTATTCCACATCACAGTTTAGATAATTAAGAAAACGATAAAACCTTCCGGATATTAGTTGTTAAGTCCTCACGTGTTCCTTGACTGCAGCAGCGGAAAACAGGAAAGAATACCAGCATTTTAGTCTTCCAACAAGAGCTTCGCTTCAAATAAAACGACGAGTGAAACGACGCGTAAAACGACGAGCTGGGGTGCCGCACAAGCTGTTCAGCAGAAGGAGAACGCTGGCGGTGTTGAGGCGAGTCGCTAGTAGCGTTAGTAGTGGGACGTAACGGACAAATGGCGTTTGTTGATTTCCCAAAACTGAGGGCCTGGGTTTTTGGAAGAGTTTTACATAGGGAAATTTAATGGAGGGAAAAGGAGGGCAAGTTAGTTAGTGAGTGAGAAAGTTGGTATTACGGAATTATTTAGAATTTGGTGGAACTGTTAGAAATTAGTGAGTGAAGGGAAGTAGGTCGAAGTGTTAAGGATTAGTGAGAGGAGGGAAATAGGTGGAATTATAGAGTTACATAGTTTAACAATGAACGAGTACAGTCAGTTTTATCGATTTTTTGTTTCTCATTCTCGGCTCATGATCATCTCTGTTATTCGTTTTCCTTACACTGCTTCAGTAAAAGGCCTCTTGCATAACTAGCTACATTAGTACGCGGCATAAAACAATTTTGAAATAAAGGTAAAGTGCTGAAAAAATAAAGACTATTTTAATGATATGTGTTCGCATGTCTAGATTTTTCCTTATTTGGAAACTTGTTCTTTTTCTTCTAGGGTGCGGTATGGTGTATGAAATTTTCGTTATGTGGACGACTGCTGGCGACAGCTGGCCAAGATAATATAATAAGGGTTTGGGTGCTTCGCAATCACTTATCCTACTTCAATACGCTGCGTGATCGTTATAATTTGAAATCCAAAAAGAGCACGATATCGATGGATGACAATATGATGCAAAATCAAATGCAGGATATTGAAAGTGATTTATGCTCATCCGCAACGGTATTTTCATTATTTCGCTTTTTCATGCATCGGAATAACGTGAATGCCAAGAATATCGAAGCAGCAGCAGCAAATGTGAGGGGAGGGGGATAGCCGGAAAAGTGTATTTTGTTAGTGTATAACGTACATACTTCGGTACTGATCAACAGTGATAATTAATCTCTTTTTAGTCCTTTTTATGCGTTTTGTGCTGTGTAACAGCCTTACAAAACGCATATTGTCACGGGGTTATCTGTGTGTTTGTGC